TCTCATCCCCACCTGCCACGGTCCCCTACAACTCACCATGTTCTCACAATTCTCTCGGGCTATGGCTGCCCTCCCGCCCAGGCCAATGAGAACCTGTCAGCTGTTTCTTCCTATTTATCCCTTCGTTTCTTCTGGATCTCCCCTGATATCTTCTCCCCTAATGGTAATCACAAGTATCACACCACTAAGAATTAGGGGGAAAGTGTCTACAGCTGTGTGCATGGGAAAATCACTTACCTAAGAACGAATCCTACCAACAGGAAGACAATGGTAAGTTGATTATTTTGTTAGCACTGAATTTTCTTGTCCTTAATAAAAGATTTTCAACTGCTAAGATGAGGGTATCCTGAAGACTTCTCACGGCAGTCAGGGCAGTTGGCGTTATTACTTACATCATTGCAGTAAATGAAGTATTTACTTTCTCATTGATCTATGATGTACAGGAGGAATATTAATGCCAGAGGACTTAATTTAATGCACTACCAGAAAATTGTAAGTGCTTCGAATCTTAAAAAAATAGGGGAGCTCACAATCTATAGAAATGGTATGCCAAATTCTTTTGTAAGGTAAATAAGGATCCTATAATTTATCTCTCCTGTATATCCAAAACTTTGCACATGAATAAGTATGACATACTGCAGCAATATTGCTGAACCAAAGAAATCAGGAAATAATATTGTGTCTGGTCTGATGTTAGGAAGTTCAAAGCAAAATTTTTAATAACATGCCCATAAGAGATATTTCTTGAATAAAGATCCCGTTTTCCAAATCCTGGCTTGGTCTTCAGATACATCTACATCCTTCGTCCTTAGAGACTCCATAGAGTTTTGAGATTTGGAAAGTTGGAGCGGCCTGGATATACTCACCTGGCCAGTAGTACATGTAGACCTTCCTTTTGGCCTTAATCAGAGTGATCCAAAGAGGTTCTGACCCATTCCACCAGAGAGGCATCAGGCTGTCTCTGTTGACGCCGATGTCAAATGACTTGTTGGTGCTGGGGTCCCACATGTAGTTCCCGATCATCTGATGGACCTCGCAATGTCTGCCTGCGTTAATAGAACACAGAGCTGTCAGTTTATTGTTTGGCTCTTTTTATATTTTATCTTTGTTTTACATTTATAAAAGCCGATCGTTCACATTTAGGAAGTACAGCAACCCATAAAGATTTGCTTTTGATTTTTTTTAACATAGATGTTTCTTCTCTCTTACATTGTACCGTAAACAAACAATTGAGTGAGAAGTCCAATAATTGATTGAGAGAGAGGTCATTTTGTGTGCAGTTAATTTGCCAAGTCTGAAGCTATTTGCAGTTAAATTGAGAGCGCTGTGCAAAACCTGACCCATTGTTAACGGCTTGAAGTCCAAATATTAATCAGGATGTAAATTCTAGATTTCTGTGGAACTTGGGTTACGTTCTCAACTCAGACTTCTCTTGGCGCCCTTTCCAAGTTCTTCTCCCACAAGACCACGAACTAGGTGCAATGGCATTTATTCCCGTTTTTCCTGTGTACAAGGAGTTATCGCTTCTCCGCTGAACAACGATAGAACCTATGACATTTGGAACAGGATGGTAAAAAAGAAATAGATTCGACTTTCAAAAACAAAGTGAAAAAACAACCCTCCAAATGAAGTGTTATATAGACATGAGGGTTGCTTCTGTTGGGCACAGCTTAGTCCCAGAAGAGAAGCAAGAAGTGAAAGACGCAAGCGCTTGGACGCTTTTGAAATATTAGGCTTAAATTATTTATTTTGGAGCAATCTGTTACATCTTTAAAGTAAAAATACCATAAACATTGGCAAGTGCATCAAAAATTGCTGTGATTTTAGTGAGCGTCATTTGGCACCAGGATGAAACATGATTCACTGAGATGACTGTGCTTAATCTAAGTGGCATTTTTGTTTGTTTGCGGTTGTTGTCTCTGCTCGATCACCACCCCCACCCCCACGCGAAGCACATACATTTTATGTGTAAGCAGAAACATGGGGAAACCATAAAATACAACTTCGAAAATTTGGAGATGGCAAATATCTTAAAGGAAAAACCTTTTATTTCATCGCAGACACACAAACATTGCGCAACTCATGCTTTGAATTTAAAGCCCAGAGATCCAAATAGTGGTTTTTCCCCAAAGCTTTAGAATTCATTTTTGACCCTCATCAAAACTTTTACATATGAACTGATAAGATTAAAAAATAAAATAAAATAAAAACTTTGAGCAAAGTCCCCTGTGCTTAAGGAACTTATTAGTTTTATTTATTCCTTCAACTAACATTTACTAAGTTCTCCTATGGACCATGCACTGTATTAGTGTAGAGATTCAAATATGAATAAATGTGTTCCCACCCCAAAGTGCCCTGTAATACTCAATAGAGGGTCCTCTGCATAAAAGAGGCAGGTTCCTCAGGCTGGGGCCAAGAAGGGGACCAAGTTGCGGCCCTAACTCAAGAATCATGGCCAAGTTCACCCACTCACATAGATTCTAACTCACTGAAAGTAGGAACATACCTCTTATTGGTTCAGCTGTTAGTTTTTTAGCACATCAAAATTTAACAATATTAAGAGAACCCTTCTCATAAGTAAAAGTTCTTATCTATTTCCTTTATTCAATATATTGCGTTCCATATCTAAAACATTTTTATCATCCTAATGATACTCACTCACCATTTTTATAAGGCAAGATATTCATGATAATAATTGTTGGAAAAGGCGTCCTTGACAGTCTTGCTCTGTAGATGTTCTCTAAGGCCCTCCCAGGTACAGAGAGGGTATCTCACCTGGAGTGGGGGTGCACAAACACTGAGGAAGGGTGCAAAATCTGACGGGGGTGTGGAAAGCGTTACTGAAGTCAGCAAGCCCAGAGGAGCCTCTAAATAAATCACAGGTAAGGGCTGGAAGGGTTAGGAATATCAGATATTGGAATATTAGGGAGAGATACCACGAGGGAGGGGTGCCAGAATCTGCTTTTAATTTGAACTGTTTCGACTATTTTAAAAGAAATGCCTGAAGCCCAAATATAAGCAGGGACCTCATGTGATTCAGTTTTTACAAGGTGCTACATTTGAAGATGCATGAAGCAACTGAAAATAATTTTTAAAACACATATAGCTTTTATATCTCAGAAACTCCACAATATCATTCCATAAAATTTCTTTAATCTTTTCAACATTCATACTCAACACTCTAGACCCTAATGATTGCAAACTCTCTCATCCTTGTTTCCTGTCTGGGTAAAAAATTATGAGAAGCCTTCTGTGGATTGTAGACCTGTTGTATGGATTATGTGTCTTCTAAACTAAACTCTCTACCTCTTATACATTTTTTTTTTTTGGAAACACCCACTGGGCCTCACTAAGGAGAGATGGGATCTATGTGCGCAGTTAACACACAGTTCTAGCACATTTTAAGTTTTCAGATGACAAAATCTTATTTCCGGTGGTTATCTGATTCCCTTAGCATTTTTTCATAATGGATCATCCCTCCTAACCATGATGTAGGATCTAGCATTAGCCTTAGTACCTTCTTCTTTATATACCAATCGAATTGGTTATGCCCATTGACTTGAGTGAGCTTCAAAGACCAGTTATGGCACTCTTTAGGGAAGCATCTTTGAGACAAGAACTCCAAAGATGGCTTTGGTTCCTGCTCCCATCTAGCATACTGGTCTAGGCTGGCCCAGAGTGGCTCATCTGTTCTAGGGGGAACTCAGATCTATGGAGGTAAGTGATCCATTCCACTCTTCTGAAACTCCACACTTCTCCAAAGGCTGGAAGCGATGTGCCGGAACAGAGGTTCCTGCTCACTTCCTGTCATTAGACAGTTAGTCAGACATGAGTGACAGGAACAAAGGAACGGAGGCCCACCCCAGAGACCACCCAAAGAACACACCATGGGTAGTTAAAGAATCTCTACTGTATTCTGGGAGACTAAGGATGGCCATAAACCTGTAGGCCACAGATACTTGCACAGAAGGTACTACCCTAACTTGTCCACATCCTCAGCCTCATTATACCATCATTATAATACTATGTTTATGCCTGGAAGTTCATGAATCTAATTATAACAGACTGAATTCTGGGTAAGCACATGCACACTAGGCAAAGTGTTATACAGCAGCCAAATGTCAATACAAATGACCTCACGTACTGATCACTTAAGAACCTTTGTAATCACCCATTGCGACCCTAATATAATACAGCCCTTCCCACTTCTGGGTTGTTACAGCTCTCTTCTCTGAGAACCTGCTCCTTCCTTGGAGGGTACTCTATCTTCTATCTTTTATCTTTTCGCCTCCCAAATTCCTTACTGCAGCCTGTCTGCTTCTAAAATATACTTTTAATAAATCTTACTTTTTCTAAATCTCACTAACCTGCAATTCGCTGCATCAGCGAGGAAGAACTGAAAACCTCCCTCCCCACCCCACCCCGCCATGCCAGAGTTCAAATCTCCCCCAAATGGTAACACTGCGAGTGAATGGTGCCTGAACATCCTGGAACCAGTTTTCCTTCTACGAGTTAGAGGGTTTCCAAGTGGAGACTGGAGCTCTTTCAACAAGGTTATCTCTGACCCCTGTTTAGGAAGTAGGTTTTACCCTTCTGGTGGATTAGGCCTTGAGTTGTAATGGGAGGGCGTATTCTTCAAAGGCTTCATCACAGATGCTGTGCTAGTCCCCAGGGTCATCCTTTGTTCTCGGAAGCATTGCCTTTCCCAGCGGCCAGCAGGAAAATGTGCGCTTCCCATCTCGCCATCAGCCAGCTGACTTTCTTTCCCATGAATAGAGTATGGCTGGTGTCTGTCTTTGTAGCAGTATGAGTCTGCTCTTACTCAAGCTGGTTTTCTCACCTACCCTGTCTCTGTCTCTTGCTCTTTCATTTTTATTGCCTGGGTAAAAGTGCTGGCTGTAAGAACAGAACAGAACAAAATGCAATGTACTGGCTTCTGCAGTCCACAAACTCTCATCTCCATATTTCTGCCTGACCTGTATTTGTTTTTACACATCTGCAAGTCTTCTTGATTTTTCTCCGGTTTGGGCTTTCCAAACAGAGCTTTGCTGTAGTTTGATTATTTGGACCCTTTGCTCAAGGCTGTGGTAGAAACTTTCCTGATGTTGTCACATACCACAAATCTTGGGTGGTTTTCAGGTACGGTGTAAAGAAGGTCAATTCTGCTCCTCCCCCAAATAACAACTCCGTGGGGCTTTAAAAGTTGTGCCAGGAGGCACAGTACTCTCTGTAAAAAGGGGGCAGCTCCTGACACAAAAACTTCCAAACACAGTTGACTGGTTTTCTCCTTTTCCCCCTCATCCCTAAGACCCAAGAGTTTGTAAACACTCGGGCTCCATGGCCGATGAGGAAGTTCTTTATTATATACGAGCTTTCTTAGTCACTTTTATGAAGTAATATTAATCTTTAATTTCTAAAGCCATTCGTGTTCTTCTGAGGTCCGTGTGTGTTTCTATGAATGTGGCTGCATCTACTAGATATCAAAACAATTGGTTGAAAAGTGAAAAGTGAAGTTATATTTCAGGCACATCAATTTATTCAGAACATGGTGATGTAAATAGTAAGCTGATTAGCAAGCTGGCCTCTGGGACCACCCTCTGGAAGTCTGGGTTACGACCACGTGTGATGGACACGTTGAGCCAGGAGGGGGCCATCTGTCCACCTCAGAAGATGATGGGTACCGTGGATAGATGACAGAGATGTGGTGAGACTGACCATTGCTAGCTCCACTTTACAGGTAAAGTAACTGAGGCCCAGAGAGTTAAGTTGCTTGAAGTCTCATGCCAGGAAGTATAGTGGAGCCACGCTTCAATCCACACAGCCTGGATCCAGAGCCCTGGTTCTTAACCGCTCTGGGCTACTAGCACTAGCTCACCAGAGTATGAACCAGCACTCAGTACAGTTCCCAGCACTTAAAAGCCTACACGAAAAGGAGCTGCTGCTGCTGTTGTACTGGCTGTTATGCAGCCTGTAAGCTCCTACCCTCAAGGACAGGAAGATTTCAGCAGACTAGGTCAGTCCAGGTGCAAGGTTCCAGGAATCAGCC